ACAAGTCATCAACAGCTCCTCCCACAAGTCATCAACAGCTCCTCCCACAAGTCATCAACAGCTCCTCCCACAAGTCATCAACAGCCCCTCCCACAAGTCATCAACAGCTCCTCCCACAAGTCATCAACAGCCCCTCCTACAAGTCATCAACAGCCCCTCCCACAAGTCATCAACAGCTCCTCCCACAAGTCATCAACAGCCCCTCCCGTGGTGAAAGGGGGCCTCGTTCTTAAAAGCAGCGGGCTGATCCACGGCTAAAGTCCCTGTTATTGTTGCTGCAGGTGTTTTATCATCACACAGCAGGGCAGGTAAGAGAAATTTACCTGCTGGAGGTGAGCTGTTTGTCTGCAGCTCTTCATCATCATCATCAGCATCATCATCAGCATCATCTCACTGTGGCTGTGTCTGATTTTACTCTTCCTCCCTGCTGAATCATTAGACTTTGTTTACTGAAGAAAATCAGCTAACAACGTTCTGCTAATTCAGTGATAAACACATTTCATTTCCTGTAGATTCTTCACAATAAAAGTCCCCTGTTATTGTGTTATGTAAAGACTTTTATTGTGAAGCAGCATAATAAGGAAATGACTCCTACAAACCTGAGAGCAAACATGAAACAGTAAAATAACGCAGATATGTTAAGTAAAAACAGGATGCAGGAGAGAAACTAAACTCCAAACCAGAGATTCAGTCAGAAGCTACAGACGTACTGAGAGCTGAAAATAAAATATGGAATCTGAAAGATGAAAAATAGTCTTAAAATCTGGTGAGTGAACAATAAATGGACATGACTGCACAAAATCCATTTTAAAAATATTCATATTGATGCATTTAAAAGTGAATTATTTTGGGTTGATACAAGTGAGATCTGAGGGAGAGAATGATACACCCACATTATCATATAACTGACAGACGGATGGACCAATCGCAGCCCACCCTCTCTTCCTCCTGTTGCTCCTCATTGGTGGACGCTGCGGCGAGGCCCGATGGATGCCCCCCCCCCCCATCTCTCCTTCCCCTCCTCAGCCTGGTGCTGCTGCTGCTGCAAGCTGCTGGTGTTGCCGTGACGATGATATCCTCCCCCCTCCCACACACACACACACACACTCACACACTCACACACACACACACTCAGTAGAGAGGAGAGCAAACAAGACGCTCTCATGACGCGATGGCTTCAGGCTGGAAAACAGACACACACTCATCCATCGCCTGCGTCTGAGGAAACATGGTGAGTGCTGCTTTCTTTTTGAGGGTGTGGAGAGGTGAGAGGATGGATGGATGGATGGATGGGTGGATGGGTGGATGGATGGAGGAATGTTTAGGGATGACAGCAGCATCTGTAGCATGGTGTGCTTTCTTGAGAGAGAGCAGGAGAGAGGGATGAGAGAGGGAAGAGTGGAGAGAGATGAGGAGGGATGGAGGAAATGAGGATGGACGGATTGCAGGATGGACGAGGGCGGAGGATGGATGAATGAACACGGGCACAGACTGATCCACCTCAGCATTAGAGCAAATACAATTGTGTATGTGTGTGTGTGTGTGTGTGTGTGCGCGCTCTCAGGCCTGCATGTACTGCACGTTAGCATCCTGAGTGCTAACAGGAGGTACGTCACTTCTGTGAACAGAAACTGGGCTGATCCACTCTGATTTTTACAGCTGCGGGCCGATGACTGAACAGGCACTGACATAAGCTCAGGGGCCCAAAAGGTCGGGGGCCCTCAGGGCACAATGTCTGTATGAAGTGGCACTGTTAATATTTCTTATTGTAAAGTCAATCAAATAATGACGAAGGGACACAAAGACACAGGAATCAACCACAGAGAAATGCAAAACAACCACAAAGAATCAGTCACAAAGAGACGCAAAATTACCACAGCAATAAAAACGGCTGAAGAGAAACATAAAATGTCCACAAAGAGACACAAAATGACCCCAGAGATTCAAAATGAAATGATGAACAATGGCCACCAAAGACACAGGAATCAACCAAAAACAGACACTGGACAACTACCAAGAGAGACAAAATGACCACAGAGAGATGCAAAATGTCTGTAAAGAAACACAAAACAACAATGAAGACACAAGAAATACCACAGAGATGAATAATGACCACACAGAAACATAAAACAACCACAAAAAGATTAAAAATGACTTAAAAGTGAAGCAAATGACGACAAAGAGACACAAAACAATGAAAAAGAGACAAGAAACACCCACAAGGATGCAAAATGTTCACAAAGAGACACAACATTACAACAAAAGGATGCAAAATGACTTCAGATGAGCACAAAACATCCAAAAAAGAGACAAGAACCAACCACAGAGACACAAAATGTCCACAAAGAGACACAAAGTGTCCACAGACACAAAATGTCCACAGACAGATATACATTTTTCACAAAGAGATGCAAAATGTGATTAAAGAGACACAAAATGTCCAAAAAGAGACAAATTTCCACAGACAGATGCAAAAT